TGAAGTGTTCCAATTGAAATCGATATCAAGTTCAGAGAAGATGTAAAAATAAAAAAAATAGTGTCCCTTCTCTTCAGTGCCCTATGTAGATTTAAACTGAAATGACTGTTCTTCTCAATTTTATGCTTTCAATTACATATATTTGAGTCAGAGCCTGTTTCAGATAGGGCGCAGGTGGTGCAAGACACAAGGACGCTCGGGCACCAAAGGGAAAATTGTGGCGCTTGAGCGCCGAAGGTACTTGAGAACTCAACTGAAAGAAGGGCGCCCGTTTCGTTTCTCGATAGCAAAAAAAAGTTCAACAAAATCGCTCGAGTCGATTGTTTTAGGGGAAAAAATCCTCCAGACCAAAAATGTATAAGGGAATATGAAAAAAAACATTGTACGTTCAAACGTAGAGAAGTTTCAAAATCCCACCAAAAAATGAATCGGAAAAACTATTTTTCAAAACAATTTGTTGTCTGGTAATTGGGCAATCGTCATTCCGTTGTCATCGATGAATTCATTAAAAAAATTCAATAATACTTGAATATTTCAATCGAACATTCGCACATCGGTAATTATAGTTTATGTCGACATCAGACACTTAAACGCCATTAATTTCCATTTTCCAAGTGTTTCAATTACGACAGCGTATATAATTACACGATCTAGGCTTGATTATCAAGAACCATTTAAAACCTGCTATGAATTCGACACATACTGTGTGTATAGAATACGCTCACGAGTCGAAGCGCAACTGCGAAATATTTTTGCATCAACACGAAATTAAATTGTGTTGCCGCAGACGCATCACGTTCAATATTGCAGTGTTCCGCACTCATGTAACAATAACATTTTATTGTTTATTTAATAATAATCCGTTCTATCTTCTCTCTCACAGAGATGAATATGTTCGACTATTAATGATAGAATTTGTTTTTATTATTTTCACGAAAATATGAACGGCTGAGAATATTCGTTGGAGCATGTCCATGTTCGATGCGTTGTTAAATGTCAATAATAAAAAAGTTGTACTATGAGAGTCATACTATTCTCACTGCCAATCGGTAGTGGTTGACCTTGGAACTACGTTAGACAAGCGTTCGATTGTATCATTCAAATCTTGATGAAATCTTTAAAAGTGGCGCGAAGCAATTGACTAATTATTATTAAAGTTGATTATTTATTCAGTTTTTACATGCGATTCGCCATGCTTTGGGATACAAACGAAACAATGGGATAGAATTTTTCGCGTTTTAGCTACTACTTCTCGTCGCTTTAGTGCGAAAATTGTAATTTCGTTCAATTTCAAATTTGTTATACCTATATTCGTGTTCTCGAACAATATGTCCAATGAATATCCAATAGAAGTCAGACAACAATAAAGATAAAATGTGCAGAATTTTAACAAAAAAAAAATCGGCAATGGTGCTCACGTAAAACGATTTTGAACAATAATACATAATAACAAATTTTCTATGTGACCTATGTATGCTATTTAGGTCAATTTTAACAATTGTACAGAAAAGTTAATAACATCTGGGAAATTTTGATTATTTTTCGTAATTTGTACGTGAATTCAATTAAATTGATTGTTTTTTTCGTGGTGAATTCAGATAAAATGTATGAAGTACTATATAAATTGATGCCAATTTTGTTATTGCTTACATCGATTGCAAATTGTGACCCCCCTACCGTAAGACAAACGACCAATGGACCAGTCGAAGGCACAGAACAAACGAGCTTTTTCGGCAAAAAGTATTATTCATTTCGAGGAATTCCATATGCCGAGGTTCCAATAACTGGGAATGATCCGTATACTGGCGAAACGGTTGACCGAAGATTCAAGGTAAGCAATGGAAGCGAGAGAATAAATGTCAACATAAAAAATCAATTATTTTGAGATGAAACTCAATCAAATCAATTGAAAATATTTTCTGCATTTGAAGTCACCTCAACCACTCGTGCGACAATGGACTGAACCCCTAAAGGTGCAAAACTTCGGAGATGGATGCATCGCTTCATCGGGTTGGATACCAGCAACGGGAAACACAAGCGAAAATTGTCTGTTTGTTAACATTTATGTTCCAGGTTAGTTTTATGACATTTTCATTTCAATGGGTAAGCGGAATAATGAAACGTATTTTTTTTGTAAAATGGAGAACTCCTGAAAAAAATTTGTTTTCATGTATCACTTTTAATGAAAAAAAATTTACGATGCGATTCAATTTTTTTTAGTATTTCCCCGTTTTTTCGCGAATGTTCTTCTCTGATTTTTTTCTAAACTAAAAACCATATGATTCGGATATTCATTGGACAACACAATGAATACGCCGAAAATGTGCGATAAAAAAGTACACCAAGTGGACTGACTGAAATGTTTATTAAAATTATAAACAAATGTTGTTCTCGTCGCGTGCGGCGCACACAGCCGCTTCAACGAAAACTGTCGATTAAACGACTACGATGTTTGTTTTTTATTTAACCAGTACCTAAGTTTAGTCAATTGGTTTTTGATTTGCGATTATGTGACAATTTATAGCTTGCTGCTCAATTGCTTTGATGAATCATTTGAATATGTCGATTTGAAGATGATCGAAAGTAAGTCAAAGATCTTTGCCTCGATGCACGAAATGAAATCAGTTCGTGTTTGGCCATTGACTGTATCGTTGCAATAAGTTCGTTTGATTTGTATTTTTTTTTATTCTGGAACCAAATTGAAATGTCAAAGAAAGGCACCAAATACTCAAACGCTTGGGAACGATTGCCTGAGTTCGAACCATGGTTAACCGCGGTTGATTCTGATTATTACAAAGCAAAATGCACAGGAAGTGTTATTGGGAAACATGCCTCCAGTTTTACAACAAAATATGAAAGCAAACCGATGTTTTACGGGCCATCAAAAGCGGCACAAAGTATTCGAAAGGAAATGATGGTTTGTTTTACTTATCAAACTTTGAAGGCGATAACATAATGTTACCATGTCATTTTGCTGAAAAATCAGTACTTGCTTACCATCTTTGGCCAAAAAATCAGTATGCTGTTCAGAAAATCAGTATAAAAATCAGTATATGCCGAAAAACGCTTAAACCCAAGCAAATATCAAAATTTCATTGATGTAATGAGTTTACAGTAAAAAAAAGCGCTTAAAACCAATGAATTCAACTATATGTTGACCTTAAAGTATCAAGACGCAAACTTTCTTTTCCTTCTAATTTTGTTCACTCTAGCGAAAATACGTTCTAGGAGTGGAAGTACCAGGGAAATAGAACACATATTCGATTTGGTGTGAAAATTTTTGGTTGTTACGTTTTGTTTTATATATAGAATAAAAAATAATAATAAGAAATATAAAACGTGATCGAAAATTTTTGGCACCGCAGCAATTAGTGTTTCCAATGTCATTGATGTTCTCGTTTCACTCGTACATAGAATTTCTGATTTTTTTTATCTGTCCAACTATTTTGCAGCTATACCAAATTTTCAGGAATATAAATACGAGCTCAAAGAAAAGCATGAAAGCAAAGAAAAAACTAAATTTTCCGAAAACACGTAAGATAAATTGTAAAAGTTCTCTTTCAATTTTCTTATGTTTTGTATGACATGTCTCGGGTCCCGAGACTCGGGATAATTGCGTTTCGTGCTTTTCTGAGCTTTTTTTGACAATTTTCTTTAACAGAAACATGAATTTTTCATCATCAAGTATTTCTGTGCAAAATTTCAAAATGTCAAAAATCAGTATAAAATCAGTACGAAGATTAAAAAATCAGTATCGAACAAAAAAATTGGCCAAAAATCAGTATAGTACTGATAAAATCAGTACACATGGTAACATTACGATAACAACGACGGAGCCTTATGCTCTCTTTTTGAAGATTTATAATAATAATTCAAAATTATGAAGTTATTTCTTAAAATATATAGGGGAATTATGTGTAGGTTGACCCGCACTAATCATTTTAGTCATAACTTTTTACGGAATGAAGATAAATGCAAACTTGATATTCCATTGGAAAGAGAGCCGAAAAAGCTACAATTTGATCAGGAAATTCATTAGTTTTGGTTGTAAAAACAAAACATTTCGGTCAATTTTCTAAGAGGTTTGATTCTTGGCAACAAAATTGTTTCTTTGTAAGACCCACCCCATTTTTTTTTTTAGAAAAACATGCAGTATAAACACTCAATAAATGAAATTTATTTAATTTCGTTGGATTTTCAATCGTTATCGGTCTTTACAACTACGAAAAACGATGAAAAAATGTAGAAAAATATAGAAATAGTAAAAAAATACATGTTCTCTATTTTTTCATTTTTCATCGATTTTTTCGTGTTTTTAAAGTCCAAAAACGATTGGAAATTCATCAAAATTCAATGAGTCTCGTATATTGAGTGTTTGCGCTGAATAGTTGTCTCATTTTTTTGATTTTTTTTTCGGGTGGGTCAACTTACAAAGTGGGTCAACAACATACTCCCTCTATTCAATAACGAAATCACGTTTTTCACGTTTCTTTCTTGAAATTGCCGTTTTTCCCCGTTTTTTTGACAATATTCAATTCCCGGTTTTTCCCGATTTTTAGCTTCGAATTTCCCGTTTTTTGAAGAAAAAAACGTGATGGGAGGCCAATATTCCGCTTTCCCATTCATTTGAAAAGGCTTTATTCAGTTGTGTGCTGCATTTAATGCCTCAATCTTATGTGTTCTTTTTTTGAAAGCCGGTGGCGTAGAGAAGAAAACTGTTCTGATATTTATTCACGGTGGTGGTTTTACTGAGGGAACATCGAACGATTTCCTTTACGGGCCAGACTTCCTCATTGATGCGGACAATATTTTGGTGACATTAAATTATCGCGTGGGCGTTTTTGGCTTTATGAATCTTGGTTTTGGAGAATATACCGGCAACATGGGTTTGAAAGACCAGCAATTGGCTTTGAAATGGATTTATGAGAATATTGAACATTTCTCGGGGAATCAGAATGAGATCATGTTATTCGGAGAGAGTGCGGGTAGGTGTTGTATTTCGTAAAAGCTATAAATTTGGCCACCAGAAAGTGGTGAAATTCACATCACGTTTATCATTCGTGTTCTAACAGGCGGGGCTTCTGTAAATTACCATATGCTTAATGAAGAGTCACGAAAGTATTTCAACAGGGCGTTCGCTCTCAGCAGCTCTTCCCTGAACAATTACGTCTTATACGAACCAAATCACTTAGAGAGAATGCAGAAAATCTCAAATATCCAAGACAAACTGCAGTTGGTCGAGTATTTGAAGACGGCAGACAGCACAGAACTTGCTAAAATACTAAGAACCAACGATTTGGGACAGATTTTACTTCAAGCAGCATGGGTTCCAACCATCGAAAGTCCTGAAACCAAAGGGGCATTCATAACTAAATCGCCTGATGAAATCTACAAATCAGATGCGGCACCAGTCATGGATACTATGTTCAGCATCGTTTCTCAGGTATTTCTAATGAATGAAGATCATATACATATTTGACGATTTAGAAATTTCCCATTGAGGAACGGAAATGCGTCCATTGTTCAACTCAAAACATTCGTTCCTTTGCTTTAATTAGGAATACGTAACATTCAATCCAGGTTTAACTAAAAGCACTGAACCGCTTCTTAGCAAAGATTGGAAAAATTCGAAGATGTTGTTGCCATTCCACGGATTTGATAAAGATACTTATCCAGAGGTAATTCTAATGATTCCAACTAACGAGAGCTGTCTAAAATTAAGCATATTAAGAAATATTCAATACATAGTCCGACTCGTGTTTTTTTCTCTAATTTGGCACATGAGTCGAACAAGTGCCAATCGATAGTTAATAAGGGCCTGATTATGGAATGGGCTAAAAATGAATTTCATGTCCTTAGTGTCCATCTAAAATCAACTGCTGCACATTTTTACGCCAGTATAAAGTGCATAAAACCATCATAGCTATGATATAAATAGCCAGATGTAAGATTTCCATACAAATCGGTAAATTTTTGATTTTTGTCCAATTTTTCCAAGTCTTGAAGACAAAAGATAGTTCTGGTTACACTTGTTGGCTCCCTCACATCAAGAAATTCGTTCCTCCTGAAATGTAGAAAAGGCGATAGTTAAATTTTTTCGAAACGAGCAACTTAGACCAAGACCATGATCTATTCTGTAATTAGGGCCACCTAAGCTTGGAAATTTTTCGGCTCATATGCCAAATTTAAAAAAACACACCAGACTGTGTTAGTATCGAGTGTTATTCTTATTTTCACTCTATTCAGGAATACAAGCATGCGATCGATCTTCTAAAAGACGCCTATTTCGATGACACAACCAATGCTGATGCAATTAAACGTGGAAATATTGCTTTACTCTCAGATTCAAACTTTGGGTATGGAATTCTCAAAGCTGCCCGGTATCAAGTAATAGCAAACAACAAAGGAACACCAAAAAATACGTTTCTACTGAGGTTTGAATGTGCCAACATATAATAATATTCATCCATTTCATGGCTTCTTTATAATTGGTTTGCATTAGATTTTCCGTAAACGCCGACATCAATGCATTCAAGATCCTGTTTCACTTGAATATTGATGGAGCAGCTCATGGGGAGGAACTTTGTTATATGTTCCGGTAAAGAATTTTCAATAACTGGTGTAATCATAGTAAATTCAAGTGCACTTGGTTTGATCATTTGTTTTCTCCTTTGAATTTAAGTTGCGGTTTGTTCGACAGTTACAAATTATACGAAAACGCATTACAAGCCAGAGACAATTCCAATGTGAATTATAGGACAATTAGGCGTATGGTCGATATAATCACTAATTTTGCTCGAACTGGGTGAGTTGTGAAGAGATTCTAACAGTTACTTTTCTTCGATTTCTCATCAAATTCATTCGTTACTTCGATACATTCATAGCAATCCATCGGTTGAAGGAGATACTCCGTTCATGTCATCGACATCGCCGGACAAAATTCTCGGCCAAGACATCACAAACGATCCAAACAGCAGCTTGGTAACAAACATAATGGATCAACTACACTTCAACACATGGAAGCAGATTGCTGACTCCTATAAAAGATTGAAAATTAATGACAACTTGTAGTGCTTACTACTCTATCACTATCACGTTCACAAAAGAGAAGATAATAAAATCACTTTGAAGCAAAATAATACATTCATAAATGAGTTATCAATGCCCTTTCTTGTGATGAAAATTTAAGTCTACGAAAACACTTTCAAACATAAAATGGAACCAACTTATATAAGTCCACCGATTTAATTTTTACATTATTCCAGAAAACACTGAATTTCTCAATAGATTGAAAATGATAGTCACTGCGTCGCTTTTTCATCTTTCAGACATCAACTATTTGCAATTTCCTCTCATTCATTTATCTATTCAATATTTTTTATAAATTTTTGACAATATTTCGAATGGTTCTCTTATTTCCCCATCCTTCAATCATCACCCAGTGTTCTTCAATCTATTCTCTCATTACACAATCATTCACTCTTTCTCTATTTCTCTATTGTTCTTCCTGTATAATTTTTCTCTCGATTCTGTTCTCTCTCTCTCTCTCTCTCTCTCTCCATTTCCCCTGATCTCTTATTCTTTTGCTCTACTGGTTTTCCAATATTTCGCTTTGTTGTTCTTTCTATTTATCTTTCATCGTCTTATTCGACACTTTTCATTTTCCAGTCACTCATCATCATCACCCATTTATTTAACGTTCTAATTTTTCTCTTAATTATCATATGTCTATTTTATTTATTCACTCAAATTCAGAGCTATTTTCTTTTCCACCGCATAATTCTTTCTTGCATTGAAGAAAGCAATACATTTTCGTTATTTCAAAATGGGTACATTGTCGTGACGTAATAGCAACAATAAACATTTAGAAACCATTAACACCTTTCTGTGTCTGGTCGTTTTTATCAGTGTTTCAAACTTACACAATTCTCCAAGCTACTCTATATTAAGCCAATCTACGTGTGTCTTCTCCCCATTTCAAGTCTCTTTCATTCAAAACAAATTTTACTTATGTATGGTTTGTCCTGATGCGAATTATGAATTTTTTCAATTTATTTATTTTTAAATGAAATCAAATCTCTTTTACAATAATATGCATTTAACATTCATTGCCGTCAACTTAAAAAAATTTAATTCAAAAACCAAAACTGCATTCATAAGATCCTTAGTGAGGCCGCGCGAAATCAAACACAGACGAACATATATATAGATTATATCACCGTCACCATACCGGAAGAAAATGATTGTAAATTGCCGTGCAATGCTGTCCATAGCAATAGTTTTATTAATAAAATATTCGTAATTTTTACGCAATGTAAAATTACTACTCATGTTGTAATAGACTATTAATTTTTTTTCCCTTTTTCGTTGTATCATTGTTATTAACGTTTCTCTTTGAATCTATAACGTGATGAAGTGTCTCTCATTGGTACGATGAATTATAATAATAAATGGTGTTCTTGCACTATTCTTGACAGTTCGAATGTCATTATAGTAAGACAGTAATCGATGATTTTTTTCATAGGATTTCAATAGAGATGGGTTGTTCCGCTTTTTTTTAAATTTAATAGTAGAAACGTAACGTTGAAATTGAATTGACAGATTGGCGATTTCGTGCGGTTAATTGTATAGGCAACGGGTATAATGTCATTTATCATCTCTCAAATTCAATTAATGAACTCATCACAAAAAATGCTTAAATAGGCTAATATCCACAATTCAAGCTCAGTTCTTTTTCAACAGTCGAAGTAAATCGGTAATTACTCACAGAAAAATGGAAGTCAAACATTTAACTTTA